TGTGCTCAAACCTACTAATTTGTGAAGAGTTTGAGTTATCAGAGCTATCATATTCAGGAAGTAAATCAGTTGCAGAAGGTTCAAGCTCGACAATTTTTGCACGTCGAGCACTATCACTTTGTGAATAATATGAGCTGTCCGAGCTATCATATTCTGTAAGGTCGCCAGCCTCAGAAAGTTCATGCTCAACAAATCTCCTGCGCTCAAAACTGTCACTTTGTGAATAACTTGAGTTCTTTGGGCTATCATAGTCTGCAAGCACACCACTCTCAGAAGGTTCACCTTCGATTACTTTGGGATGCTCAACGCTAGATCTTCCTGGATTATTTGAAGTGCCTTGACGGTCATATTCTGAAAGCACTCTATTCTCAGAGGATTGTTGCTCAGCAATGTTGTCATCCTGAATACTATCTCCTACTGAATATTCAGAGCTATGTTCCGAGGTATCAAAACTTTCATATCCTGCTAGTACACCAGTGTCAGACCGGTCACGCTCAATTTCTGAGCTTCGKCCAACGCTGTCTCTTGATAAATAATCTAGCTTGTTTGAGTCGTTATGTTGCGTAGCCACACCAGCAATATTGCGGTTTGTAAGGCTATCATTTTGTGACCCACCTGAACTGCTTGAGCTATCGTATTCCGCAGGTGCACGAGTGTCTGAAYTTTCTTGGTAAGGAGTTGTGCCCGCTTCAACATCATCACTTGAGTCCAAGTTGCTTGATCTAGGAGACCCAGCAACTTCTGGTCCGAATTCACGTCGTTCAAATGCACGCAAAATTTCTTGCTCGTTTTCTTCTAGATCTTCTCCCAAATGATGCCGTGCAAAAATCTCCAATTCTTCTAAACGATTTCYGTCGACTTCCTCTCCTCTCTTTTGCGCATCAAGCATATTTGAAAGTTCACGGCGATAGGCTCTTTCTCTGTGTCTTTTTCTTTGAAATTGAGCTAAATCTCTTTGCTCGTCTGTGTCGAACGAAGAGCCAGAACCACTTTGCCATCTCTCGAAGAGCTCAAGGTCGCGCAATCGGTCTAGAGAATACGAGTCACCATTATCCTGTCGATCAAACAAATCATCTAATTCATCCAGTTCCCAGGTTGAAAGACTCGAGAAGGAGTTTTCGTCTATACTTCTCACTGAATAGCTATCTTGGAGACTTTCTTCCAGTATTTTCTCTTTCGCTATGTATGAAGTCTTCGATTCTGGCGAACTCTCTCTGCATTCTCTTGCTTCAAGGAGCGATGGTTCTTTTTGTGGGGCCTTATGGGAAACTGACAAAACATCAGATCGCAGAGGAATTTGACGACGACCTTCGTCGTCGCCCAGTGCCTGACTGAGTTCTTCAAGATTAGAAGACACAAGTGAAGTGTTGTCCGCTTCACTTTGTTCTTCMGATTTGACTGGTGTAGGCAATGACTTGCCCGGTGAGTCRTTTTCTTCAAAAAAATTGTCTTCAGGTGGAATCCATTCGGAAGGAGTCTTTTTTGGTTTGTCRGCGACTTCCTTTTGTTCGTCGTCAAGAAAAAATGATTGCTCTGGTGGGTTCCAAGCTAATGSTTCGTTGATTGGATGTGSKTCTTCAGTCCCTGGTTCTCCAGTACCTCCTTCAAATCTCTTTTTCTCTGCCATTTTGGCTGGTTCAATGGCTTGTTTCTTCTSTCYGTCAATCAACCTTTCAGTTTTTCCTCGCCTTTCCTGCTCAGTGTCGATTTTCCTTAGATCCAGTTCTTCCGTCTTTTGAATACCTTCAGCTGATCGCTTGCTA